AAAGGTAGGGTGGCTATACTCAGTTGGCCAAGGAATAAAATATTTAGGAGTTTTAAATCCAATTCTTGGGATAAGGGTCCTTTGATACGGAAAGGATAGAAAAAGTATGCTATCAAAAATGTCATGTGGAGCAGGTTTTACGGTGCTTCAATATGCAAGATGCTAACTGTTAGTACCTAATTTTCTTTTTCAATGAATTTGCCTTCAAATAATGTCCCTGTCCCAACAAGAAGGCATAGAAGTCTCAAGTATTGTATTTATCTATGGTATGGTGGCTCATGTTTAGTCTTGTATTTTATATGGTTAATGGCAGGCTAGACATAACCCAAGAAATAGATCCTTCATTGTCCAAAAAAAAAAAGAAAAATCCTTTATCATTTGAAGGGAACTTGTAATTATGGTATTTAGGGTTTGGTGCAATTACTTGATCATCAATGTTACATCGCATGGTTGCTTTGTCCTCTAGAAGCTTAAATATATATTACTTACTCATGTACCTAAAGAACCAATTTTACTACACATGTTACTTGAATTGTTTGTAGTAGTGCAAAAAGTATGCCACATCATTGTGATCGCCAAAGTACCCTACTTTGAATAATGTTGTTGGGTCTATGTGGTCATTAAAAGTTTTGTGAGTGCATGTAATTAAAATGTTTGATAAAATGGAACTTGAATTCAGTGGGAGTGTAGTCTTGTGTGGATCATATTAAGCAAATGATATTTTCTTATACCGGACTGGGCTTGACGTGTTAGGCCAGTCAATTGGGAAAAACTCATGTTACCTGGGCATAGAAATTAAACCCATAAGGGTTATAGTGGGTCATCGATTGATGAGGTCAGAGTATGCCCGGATGAGTAAGTCGAACAACTATGTGGCCAATATGCGTGATGGAAACCCTCAGAGACGAGAGCCAAAGCCTCATCCGCGTACTATCACAAGGCGTACATATAATAGCCATATCGAGAAAACGAACAAGCTTTGAGGGTGAAGCATGTATATCTGTGAGAGATTACCCCTAAGCACCGTAGAGTTGTGGTTACATCAGGTCTAGGTGACCTTGGTACATCTCTAGGGAAAAACCTGAAATCCACAAACTGTGATTAAGCCCTCTTGCCCACTAGTCATGGGGTTTGTTTGATAAAGCAAGTGTGGACCGTAGTCCACAAGTAGAGTGCTCTAGAGTTGAAATATTCCTAGACCATATGGATCCAATTCCCGTCAAAAGTATTTAATTATATTTATTTTAATGCTATTTGATCTTAGATTTGTTATTTAAATTTTTCTAAATATTTGGATATTTTATTATGAAATTTGGATTTATAAAAACAAAGTCATCGAATTTACAATGTTTTAAATATTCAAATGAAATTTATAAATTTTATAAATCATGAATTAATTTTAGAGATATTTTTTGTGCATGGGGGGCCATTAGTATACATGGGCCCACCATTGCATCTTGGTGGGGCCCATGGAGTGCCACATAGGGTGGCACGCCTCGCCCTTGTCTCACTTTTTATTTTGTTGATTCAAGCATGATGGCTTGAAGGAAAAGATATTATATTTTAGAAAGTTTAATTTTATGGAGTGTTTAAATCAAACTATGAAAAGTGTGAGGAGGCTTGTGCATGAGAATAAGAAAGCACAATATTATTATTGATATTTTTTATTTAATTTAATGGATAAAAAATTGGTTTAGGAAACTATGAATAAAAGTTCTAGCACCTTCCATATGATCTTGATGATTAATCTATGGAATGGAGGGTTCCCATCTTTCACCCCACAAGTCATCCAAGATCAATGGTGTATATTTAATTTCACTTAAGAGGCAAACCATATGGAAACCCTATTCCCCTTTAAGCATTATATAAAGGGGTGCCTTTTCCATATCTCTCACGCATCTAATCCTCTCTCTCTCTC